TATATCGTTTTACATATATACATAATATACATATACAATATATATAATATATTACTTATATATACATAACGTACGGATGCGTGTGTGTCTACGTGTACGTGTGACAAGTGAAGCTGAAGATAAGCTAACGATACTAACATGTTATTGTGTCACTGCCCCCTTTTTAGTCCACCAATGGTTCAATGATCGACAAGCCTGGGTACTTGCCAGTGCCAGATTTGAGTCCCTACCTTTTTCCAGCTGGTCGACAGAGAATAGCCAGAAAACAGCTAATCGATAGTCAACATGAAAATACACGTATAAGCAAATGTGTTGTCAGTATACTAGATATGTATGCCTACTTGAAGTTGCAGGGAGGGGAGATGGAGGGGGGAGTTTTGAGATTAAAATTTTGTCGTCAATGCCAGTTCATCTATCTGCTGTCCTCTGGTGGATCCCGTGGGAGCTGGGAGCCGGGAGCTAAGCAATTGGGCCACTTTAAAAAATGTTGTGTACGTCTTTGGTCGCGAAAAGGCCTCGATGTGCCTCCCTTTTTTTCAAGTTAAAAAAAGGGGCCACAATATTACGGACACCAATATCAATTTGACAGAGGTAACAGTCTAAAGCAGCAGAATTTCTTGTGCTCTGTTTTAAGCATCCAGCATATCATTTGTTGTCACCCAGTGTGTATAAAATCGTGAAAAATAAAGGTTTCACAACAGAATGAAATCAGAATTAGAACAGCACGGATAAATACATGTAACCACAAAAATTAACAAATTGGGGCGCGTCCACTTATCCGAAGATTGGCTGTTTTAACCCTAAACGTGTGTAATTCAAGAAAAAGTAGGCCTACAGGATATTACATATAATTTATGGAATCACACACAACTGGGGCGTGCCGGTGTCAGTGTATGTATTCGGTTTTGTTGGAGACACGCTCTAACATAACACATTTATATTTTTTAAAAGGGTATGAACAGCATCAAATTAAATGACATTACGTTGTATAAGCACACACACACACACAAGGAAAAACAAATCTTTAGAACAATTTTTAGAAAAATTAGCACACCAACAAAATAAAACACAACAAAGATGGAAAAATAAAAGGCAAACAGCAATATAAATAGTATGTAATGTAATATGTACATGTGCTTATATTCTCTCCAAGAAAATAGATCTAGATACTCCTGGACATCTTATTAAAACTTATCAAAACACATGTCTGATATGTTATGAAGTAGCTTTGTTGTTTTGTCTTTTTTGAAACATTAAAAAATCGCGGCCGATGCCAAAAATCGCTGCCGCGACAAACGCAGATGCTAGGATAGTGTGGAAAGCAAATCAGAAAGTTTGTTTTTCTTTTGAGGAGCACATCTTTTCCGTCAATAATAAATCAAAGTATTTCACTACAGACTAGATGCTTTATGAACGCTTAAAGTAAGGAGAAGTGTGGCAGAACTAATTTCAAGCATAAAAGGGTCAGTTTCGTTCTGTTGGTGATATGCTTTGAACACGCATTATAGTTATCAGCAACTCTGTGGATAATTAATTTATCGAACTTTTAAACTATTCTCAAGTGACGCGCCGAAAGTATCAAGGGTGATAATAAATTGTAACTGGAGGCTGCGTAAAATTTAGTAATAGGGCCTACAGTTGAGGTGCTTCTCGTTAAGCTAATGACTCTTTTAAAAAGACCACAAAACATTTACATGTATGTAATTTTATGCTAATATCCATCATCCTCCAGTCGCGACAATCTATTGATCACGAAAACGAATTTGATACCAGTAAGTTATTTTATCGGGACCCGCCCTAGTAGTAGCGCTTCTCACATGTTGAAAGCTTCAAGGCGGGCCCACCATAACCCAGTAGGCGGGGCTCTTTGATCCAGTGACGTTGTAAAACAACCCTTAACGTGGCCATTGATCGGTGGCCTACCGTACTATGATAACCGATGGACAACAAAGAGACGATTCGACCGCCCAAAGTCCCACCCCACTTGTATGAACATGCAGTCTTATTTTATGTATTCACAATCTGTTGCGCTCAGGTGTATTGTTTTCGTTACTAATAATTTTGGGCTTTTTTGTTTCGATTTACATTTGATTGCAGACTAACCCGACAAGCTGCAGTACTTTTTCTTCTCCTGAATGTCGTTAAAAAAAAGTGGAACTTCATGTTATTGTTTGTAGTGAATATGGCGTTGCTGCTGTTCTTGATGATGGTGATGATGATGATGATGATGATGATGATGATGATGATGATGATGATGATGATGGCTACTATGGCATTAATATAGAGTTCAACCCCGATTAAAGGGCACGGGCTCTTAGCGCTTTACAAATACACAATAAACAGTAGGCCCTATAATATTGTGTTCTGACTAAAAGTCTACATAGATCTATATGTACTTTTATACGGAACTGAACTGAACGATTTGATTTCTTTTTAGGAAGAATCTAGGAAGACCCCAACTGGGGTTTACCTAGTCATGGTGGCTAGAGGTAGTCGGTCTACCTAGTCATGGTGGCTAACTGCTCCTCAAAATTGTTGGATTGTGACCTCTGATCCCTGGTTGAATATTTAGGAAGTAATAAGTGGGTCCAATGTTTCCCAGAAGATACGATATAAGATGACAGGAGTCTAGCTATTACTCTTAGACAAACTTTCTAAAGCTTCTCTGAATTCAAACAGCTGTTAAAGTAAAAACTGTTTGATGCAAAGTCAGGACTTTATGGACGCACTGTATATAGATTGACGCAGAGAAAAACAAATGAACAAAGTTTGCCACCTTCTAAACACAAGTCCAGGGCTGTTACAACAGATAAAAACAAGAAAATTACAGTATTTCGGACACCCAAAATGCCATTCCTTAATCTATACTAGAGTGTAAAGTGGAGGAACAAGACCGAGAGATACATGATGATAGATTGGGGTCTACGGGAGCCATGGTGGCTATAAGTTGTACTCCCCAATTGAGGACGACCTAGACACTATGACTACGTAGTCCCCAAATTGGGGTCTACCTGGAAACTTCCTTCTTTTTAACTACTGGGTAAAGCTTTCCAAATCTTGGGGCCATGATATACAAATGCCCTTTCATCTATTGTTTCAAGTTTCATAGATGGCAAAGGCAATAATTTCTTTTTGTCAGCTGATGGTCATAGACTGCAGCGAGTTGGAAAGTACGGTTTTAATAGATTTGATAAATGTTATGGCGCATTATCATTCAAACATTAGTGAAGTAAAATGGCCAACATGTTACCTTTCCCTTATAGTGTGGTCTTTGCTGCTGCACCACCTACGATGGCTGCTGCTCGTTACTAAAATGAATTTGATTGCTGTTTTGTTTCTACACCTGAACAGGCCCTGTGTGTGTCTCTGTGTGCGTGTGTGTATGTGTGTGTGTGTGTGTGTGTGTGT